GGGGGAGGGGGTGGGGTGCCGATTGCGGGCGAGGCGCTGGGCTAGCACCAGTCATCGTCGTCAGAGTCCGAGTGCCGGCTTCGCTTGCGGTGGGGAGGAGGCTGGGCCTGGCCCGAGTGCGGCCCGTGCGGGCCCCCGGCTCCAGGCCCACCCGGCTTGTACCCATTGGGCACGGGTGAGGGTAAAAGTCTGCCGCCACGGCCTATGGCGACGGCCTGCTCGAAGCTGAGCGGGCAGTATGCGGGCACCGATGGGTCCCGCGGGGGCGGTGGCAGCTGCGGCAGGGGGTAGTGCGTCGGCGACGCGTTCAGCTGCGGGAAGTTGATGGGCGCTGGCCGCAGCTGCAACGTTGATGGTTTGCTCGGAGTCGGCGGGAGGCGGCGCCCCTGCCCGCGGCGCGTCACGAGCACGGGGTAGCTATGCTGCTGCGGCCGCAGTGGCAGGGGCTGTGGAGGGTCCAGGCCACTGAGGCCGTGGTGGCCTCCGTGGTGGCCGCCGTGGGGGCCGAAGCCCGAGTGGGGTGCCGGTATCGCCCCGGAGGGCGGGCGCGGCAGGTGGTGCAGGTGGTGGTGGTGGTGTTGCCCCATGGAAGGCGCCATGCGGTGGTGAGCCCCGCCGCTCCCCCTCGCCCCCGCACCCGGACTGGGGGAGCGCGACCGCTGCTCCAAACTGGTGGTCCCGTAGCGGTGACCAAGCCCGTTGTTCCGTGGGCTGGGGCTGTGGGAGCGCGCGGGGCTGGGGGAGCGCGCGGGGCTGGTGGACGCTGACCAGGAGCCTGGCGGGGGGGAACACAACACTGGGGCCATTAGTCAGCAACAAGTATGAGGCATTTGTATTTGTTCCCTCCAATCGCAAATAATTATAATTTGCCGGTTTTAAAGTGAATTTGTTGTCTCAGGGAGACTCTGAATACACAAAGGGTGGACTTACACGGAGAAAAATACTTTGGTTGTAGTAACTAAAAGGTGCCCCCACACTGAACGCTTTCTGTGTGTCCGCGTCCACCCTGTATGCCTGGGTCCGCCCGGACATATGTCAGCCTTCGCCAACTTGTCGACAGCAAAAATTCCGGTGTCACGGAAAAAAATATGTTATCTATTCCAGCACAACGTTTGCTAGGACAACTAACGTGTTTGCTGTCAGCGTGACAAGCAAGGTGTTCGACCAGTACAACATATGTATTTGTTGAATATGCTTAATTCTTAGTTGTGAGAAACGAGAAAGTCTGTTTCTTGTAGCTAAATGCCCCTAAGCTCGTGTGACTAAATTTTCTTATCTGTGTTGGCTGAGGCATATTGTGTCCAGCAGCCAACAGCCACAACAAAATATGTATGGGGTGGGCCAACTAAAGATTAGCTCTACCAACCAATCCCTCGACAGCTACCGCGGCTTACCAGGAGTTTGCTTATGGCAGCTTACGTCTAGTCTGGTCAAGCGAATTTTACTAGCTGTTAGGGCTGAAGCCCAAACATCAAGGTTGTTTTTCCGAGTTCCCACTTGATGCTTGTTTTTCATCCCAGTTTCAACGCGCGCAGTGGCTCAGTGCCTCCAAGTCGGAGAGCAGCGCCGATGGGCGAGGGTTCAACACCCACTCGGGTCGGTTCTAATTCCTTGTTAAGGGCAGTAGAAGTGAGGAAGGACGCACCCTAAACAACGTAAATGGAACAACTCTGCAAAAATTTAAGTTTTAACACCTTATAAAAACTTTCTCCCGCATTAGTTTTTACAGCTGACGTGATTATCTGCTACAGTAAACATCGCTTGGCTCTCACAGACAGAGATTGGCTCTCACAGCTAACGCATTGCTTGTCACGCTGGCAGCTAACACATTAGCTATCACAGCTTACTTATTTTTTTCCGTGGTGGCGGACATCTGTCCGGGCGGATGGAGGTGGACACGGCGGACGCGGACACAGCGAAAGCGTTCAGTGTGGGGGCGCCTTAAATTGGTATTTAGTCTACCCCCTCAACCACAACCATTAGTCGTTTTCACGTGCTGGCTCAGCGTTTAGACGCACCATCCTAGCACATCGGATTATACAACAAAGCGTCCTATGGTAATACGTTTCATCATTTTAGTTGCAACAACGAAAATTTTCGGTCGTGGTGACCAAATGTTTTTCTCAGTGTAGAACGCTTGAAGGGTTGCTAATAATATCGATATCCCCTTTGCACGACACATCCGTAAAATTAACAAACATGTTAAGGTACAACAATGTCCATAAGTTTGTTCTGTGGACTAATAATTTTGTGATACTGACCTCTTGTTCTTGGATGATGCCTTCTATGTTCATGCTTGACAAAGTCAACCACATTTGAAACTGTATCACTAAATCCGATTTCATGATGATGAGGATGCCTGTAATGATGTCTACCGTGAGGCGAGGACGCCCGGCCGATAGGAGTTGGTGACCGTCCCCGATGCCTAAAGAGTAAAGGAGACAGAAATAAAAGTGAAACGTTATCATTGTTTGCTGCTACCATCCTATTAGTATGTCCTACTCACCTTAAACTAGGAGATCTAGACCTGGACCCTGTCCGATGCATTCCATAACTATCGGGATGCAGGTGCTGCTGGTCCACAAGAGATTCTTGGGACATCCGATGATCGCTTGCTTCTGTTCCCTGCAATTCATGATTTTCAGAATTAGACTTAACATAAAGTCGCTGACAAAGGTGCTTATACAAAATCTTGTGTTTCACTGGTGACAACAGATGTAGACAGAGCTGACAGCAGAGAGACATCACCAAATAACTTAACTCTACACAAAGTGCATAAAAAGTCCCCCCTTTTTCTCTAAGAGTGGGTGCCACAGGATTGGTGCAGGTTTCCTGCCATCAAATTTATTGAGAGCCAGAAAAGGCTATCATCAAGTAGACCATTCTTTTGAACAATAAGTGCAAGTGCTTAGCTCCTACCTAGAACTGTGCCCTAAGGGCAATTCTGTCTATAAGCTCCTAATAGTTGATTTTTTGCTACTGTTGGCTAAATGTGGCGAAAGTATTCTAGACTAATATGTTTATGGAGGTTTATGAATTACAGGAGGATAATGCTAAATAATAATGATCAAAAATGATCAAATTAATTAAAAGAAATCCTCATTCAATTTTAACCTATCCCCCCCCCTTGACAAAAGCTAATAAAAGGTTAAGAAATTTCGATTGGCAAAGTAGTGTCCCTTTTAATCTGTTTTGAGTGTTTTTAAAGCAGAACTCAGTCTAATTCAGCTTCTACTAAAATTCTACATTATTTTTTGTTCAAAGTGCGTCGAAAAAATTGCAGTTTCGTAAGTTAGTAATGGATCCATCTAGTTCAACATTGTATCATGAACTGGCTGCAATCAAGAAAGCCGTGTTCGTGTTTAGAATTTAGACAAATAGTTCTACAATAGAAATCTGAAAGAAGAAAGCAAAACTAATTCAACAGTAAAGAAACTATCAATTAATAAACCGCATGGAGTGCCAGCTTGGAAAATTAATAGCTTTAAGAAGAAATATTTTATCATAAAGTAAAGAGTTACACATGTTCTTCCAAGGAAATGGAAGTTGGAGTCTTTCTTTTAAAGCAGATAGTTGTGCTTAATTGTCATTGCACCAAATTCTCAATACATGCTAAGATTGAAAACGTGCAAAAGTTAGCGTGCAGAAGGTATAATTAGACAGAGACAGAGGAAAAGAAAAGAACATAGTGGGAAGTGGTGGAAAAAGTTTCCTGACCTAAATACCTCCAATAACTTTCAAACCTGTTCTGTTGTAACAAACAAATGCAGAGGAGGATTTTTCAGCAGTAATACACGAACTTCCACAATAGTGTTCTCTCTTAAAATTTAAACATCCGATGGTCTAGAACTAATTCAAATAGACCTATATTGTAAATGAGACTTTTAATCTAAATTGACAAACTATTCTAGGAGAGTACTTTGGTGGTCAAGTTTCCATGAATTCTGCTAGCTTATGGAGCACCAAGATTCGGATATATTCAATACACTTAAAAAACAAACAAATACAACTGAGAAATGTAATCTTGGAAAAATACGAAGATTTTGCGTAACTGCCCACCAAAGTATTACAAATTCATTTTTATGCCATTTTCTGGACACAGTGGTAATTACCAACAGTGAGCAAAAATAATATCATTTTCTACGACTACTTTATTTAGACTATGTAAAGATAATGAAACGGTTTGGATCAAGAGACGTATACCAATTATCTACTTTTGTTCTATTTTAGACATATCCACCTAGTAACGCCTAGTAGGTGTTTCATGACATGCACATTTTGTCGTTATACTTTACTGAAGACAGGACAGCGAGCAGGTTGTCTACGCGTGGAGGGCCATCAGCCAATCAGGCACCGCCCCAGTAGGCAAACCCATACGCACGCCTGTATGAGATTCAGTATAACTGCAAAACGAAGAGTCACAATATGAACTGCTTCCAAGTACAACATCATTTTCTAAATATGAGAGAACGTATGATAAGGCTACTTTTTCTCTTTGTAATCTATACCATTTATCGCACGCAATGCTCTAAACATACTAATAACTCACACAATTACAACAACTTCCAGTATCTGTGGTACCTAGGTTGTACGCTATGGTCTTCAGAACTGGAATCCAAGAGGTAAAGAGACCTACGAGCAAGAATCGATCTCACTACGATATTCCAGAAAAATAGAACCTCATCGCCCCGATTTAAAAAAAAAAGTCTGATCTCGGAAGCAGACAGGTAATACTGGACTTGAGAGGCATATTCATCGTCGAAAGAATGATCTGTATTAGGTGATCTCATTTTAATCAGATAAACTTACTTACTACGACATTCCTACGACAATTAGACCTCTACGACCCACTGCGAGATCAGACTCCTTTGAATCAGCGCTCCGAGACCTTCCTTTTCTTGATTGTTGCGGCGAGATCGTTTATTTCTCGTATGGCTCGTCGAAGTAACACTCCTGCTATACTAATCAGTTCGAGAAACAACTTGCCCTTAAAGTGAACTAAACTTCTGGACCATCTGAGGAAACCTAACTGTTTTGCATTTGACACCATTTGAAAACTACAATATTTTGTGTGATTAGATTATAAGTAACAAGTTCCTCCTTCATAAAAGATAGCCAAATGCTTACACAACGATAATCCTCAAACTTATCCTAAATTGATTTTCTTAACTGTAGCAGTTGCCATTGAACATTCCAGCACACCCTGGTTGGCACCATAAGACTCAAAAAAACTTGAATGTCGACTCACTTATTACGGAATTCAAGCAATTACTGTTCAGGTGAAAACTATTGCAATCTGCAGATCCACTCTTTTAGCAATTTTGATATTATTTAAAATAAATATTGGAAAGGTAATCTTGATATGAAAGGGATCAAAAGTTGAAATCGATATTTTAAACCATTCATTGAGACAGGTCACCTTTTTGTTCCTGAAACAAAGAAAAAAGACAAAGATGATTAGAGATATACAAACATGTGAACATTTGTATAATAAAAAAAATAGTCTCTAGGTGATTGCAGACAATAGTCACTACAAATAATAATAATGCAGATCAAACATGTAAGCGACAAAATAAAACTCATAACTGTTTACAATACCTGCAAAATAAATTTGCTTAAATTAAATGAAGCAGAAAAAAGACACAACTACAATGTAAAAAGCACCTGAACAAACACGTTTTCTACGGAGCATCTAAAAATAAACAAAAAACACTAGTAAAACTCAGAAAAATAAAATTCAAAAACAGTTGTAGCAGATTAGTTGCAAAGATACCAATACTGAAAGGGGTTGCACGAAATAAAAATTCAACTGATACAAAACGAGGAAGCAAAACACAATTAGTAAAAAGCCAAATCAAGCAGAAAAAATGAAAACTGACAAAAACAAACAGCGACAGTCAGGTATTCTCACCGGAAACTCTTCTTGCGGGGTGTGGCTCTCCGACCCAAAAGACTTATTTCCTCAGCATTCATGCCTGATGTTCCGTTGTGATCCAAGGATCCACTTCTGCTATTGCTCGGCCAGCCATGTCCAGTGAGGTTCAACCCCCGGGTCAGGTTAAACAACGTATTCCCTGGCTGAGTAGAAGGTGCATAACGGTGCAAATACAGATATCATCCGAAGGACAAATAATACAATCTAGGTTATAATTATTTGACAACATGTAAATGATGTTCTTTGAAAGTTATAAAACCCTATCCAGAGAGACTTTGTAGATGATAGAAGAACATGCAATTCAGAATTAGAGAGATTAAAAGCTACCTTTGTCTGATATGTCAGAGAAATTAAAAACTTACAACATATTAAAGTGAGACAGACAAGAAACAGACAGACTGCAAAAGCAGACTTGCATTTCAAGCAAAGCAGTTTAGATACGAAACTAATCAGCAGCATGCGAAGCCTTCAGAATTTAACGATATGAATGAAAATTCACAAACACACAGTTATGTAAAAAACCAAAAGTCCTTTCGTGTATTAGGGAAGATTCTTTCATAATAAAGAAGAAACGTTTTAAGTCCATCTACAGGTATTTTGTTGATTTAAACAGAAACAGAGGACAAACTGTATTGCCCCAACACATACAAAATAGAATGTATCTCTTATGAAACAGGGTGGTCCACAAACCCTTTCCTTTATTTTACTTACACTGTACCGCATGCAGGCGTGCGGGCTTGCCTGCCGTCGCTCACTGTAGCGGCTTCTGGCCCCGTGTGAGTGTGCAACCCAACCGCACGCCTGCATTTGATACAGTAAGCAAATTAAAGGAAAGGATCTGTGGACCAGCTTGTATAATAATAATTTAGATTGAAAAGTCTAAGATTTGAGATTATGAATTAAATACTCGAAAATTATACCACGCGTGCAACATGAAAAGCTATCAATAATTGTCAATCTACAACAGAAGCATGCAAAGTTGGTGCACTAGATAAGAAGGCTTGATCTAATTTTTGGTCTGACAGTCTATACCACTTTTTCGAAACCATTTTAGCAAGATAAGGTAAGTGAGGGGGGTAAGGTTATATTCTGCTCCCATCCTGTGTCAATAGTTCTACCAAGTACAATCAATAAACCATCACCAGGATTTTGAGAACCACACAACCCTTACACTAGAAGTTAGGTTTAAAAAGTCCAAAAGAATGTTGACATCATTTTTTTTCTCATAAAACGTAAAACAGAAAATTTTAAATTATGCTGCAAAAACCTCTTTATGAAAAACTGCACAAAGGCGTTTTTTTTCTTTGTGTTTTTTATCGATATAAGGAAGCCTCTCAACAATTGGAGTATTTTGAGCTATCACTCAAATAACAGTTAAAAGAAGAAAGAAAAACACACAAAAAAAAACCCACATGAAATGAGTGTGCCATTATTTTGAGATGAGTACAGAAGGGTTTGAAAATCGACGCGTCCTCTCAACGATGTCCTATATACGGAGACTCCGTGTCGTTTTCAAAATATCTTCTCTGGAAACTCAAGTGTCGAACAGTATGACAGTTTTAACTGTCATACCAATTGTACTGCAGTTTAAACTGTCATACCATTTGTGGTCTACAGTTTAAACTGTCATACCATTTGTGTTCTACAGTTCTTTGTGTAGGACACCGCGTGTCCAACAGCTACAATGACGCTTTTAACTGTCGGACACGTCGTGTACTACACTTATAACTGTAGACCACAAATGGTATGACAGTTTAAACTGTAGACCACACATGGTATGACAGTTTAAACTGCAGTACAATTGGTATGACAGTTTAAACTGTCATACTGTTCGACACTTGAGTTTCCAGAGAATTACCGGAGAAGCTTCGTTTTCACAATGTTCTATCTGCTTAGCAAATTCGATGGAGATAGAGCATTGCGAAAACGAAACTTTCTAGGTCGGTGATTTTGAAATCGACACCACACATGACCATGAGTCATTGGTGTAAGGACGCGTCGAATCGTGCTCTAGATTTGACATACAATCAGTTCATATCTGTTGAGCTAAAATTAAGTAGTCATAAAATCTACCAGGTTGTTTGATGAAAACATTTAAGATTGACAGGTACTTGTTGTTCCTAAAACCTAATTGATGTAACCAGTCACTAATTGCAGAAAGCCAATGGTGTTTGGCTAATATGATAGGAACACCTAGGCAAAACAACCTACACCTACATATATTCTATCAAAATCAAACCGACATAGTAAAAAAGTTTCTTGGTGTGCAGTTGAGGTTTAAGGTGCCCACAAATTACTGATGAGATCATACAGGAAAACTAAAGATCTAATCACGTACTGCGTTTCTTACACGTTTAGACAAAATGAGTAGTAAAACCAACACCAAGAAACGTGATTTCAATTTCGTTATCTTTGCCTACACAAGTGTTCCAACACATCTCACTCCAAATTAGTTTGAATATGCCTTTAATGTCGGCTTTCTCAGAGGATCATTGCAGGGAGGAAATTAATTGTATTTCCCATTCAACCATTCTTTACTATTCACATATTGGGTGATTTGTGTTGGCTTGTACCAGAGTGTACACACTTTTTTTTTTAAATACAAAGCTTGGAGAAAAAGATCTACAAAAAGGGATGAAAGAAAGAAAAATTATTTCTAATTAAGAATACTACCGCCTCATTTGAAGGACTATGACCACGAAAGCCCTGAAAACAAACACAGGTGTTATTGAGGGCCCTGGAGCATACCAGGGAAGTAACGCTGCATGCACAGCTGACAGTAGCCCTCATCTACAGCTCAGCTAAAATCTGGGATGTTCTGAAATGTTCTTTCAGAATTGACAAGTCAGCACTGGAAACAACATTCTCAGAGTAGTGGTTTCAAATTAAACGAAATACTGCGGAAATATTGATACAGCCATGGCTGCCAAAGGTTCTCAAGTATAAACACAAGGAGTTCACTCGCAGTCAGACGAAAGAACGCTAACACCAACAAAATCAGCCAACCATTGCACACAAAAACACATATATACACAGGTATCATATGAACTGCACAAAAAGCTGACACTGACTACAAGTTTATGGTAAAAAATAAATAAATTAGAATCCCTTTTTTTGGATCAACTGTAGGGACCTCACCAATTAACATGCACCCTTGGCTATATCTATCACACTGCAAGATAGACAACTGGTCTGAGCCATGCCCTACATAGTTACACGATCACGTCACAGTAGTTGATCTACCATTTTTTTTAAAGTTGCGGGGCTAGTAGGAGTCTGCACTTTGCCTCCACAATTTGATAGCAAATTCGTGAAGAAATAATATTGCCTCGTAAAATTCTGAAGGATTTTAATAGAGATGAGGGCCAAATCTAAGGAAACATGGACATTCTTAGTTCCCGAAAGTATGTAAATTTTTCAGAAATCTTGCAGAAGCTTGTGGCTATTGAAATGAATGAACGTAAATAAAATGTTTGCTTCAGGGCCGATAGAAATTTCAATGCAACAAGGTCAGTGGATTTCAACATAGGCAGCTAAAATAGGGGTAAACACATACATGCATACCAAAAGATAGATTTAGACAACAGAGTAAGAGAAAGACAGAAAAGAAAGTAAGTCTCACAGACTTTTAATCGAAAAAGTCAAGGTCTGTGACCAAACACTCAGGTGTATGTACCAATTTTCAAAGAAAATTCTAATATGATTAGGGGTTTGTAATGAACAGGCTCACAGATATTGTTAGGACTTATAAGAAATTAATTTGAAAAAAGAGAAGAGGTATTTATTGCTGTGATCCAAAGGGCGGGGAAAGGCGCACAAGTTATTGTTTTGATCTTAACAATTTTCTCTTGCTGTTCCAAAGATTATTTTGCCACCATAAAACAATAGTAAGTGTAATATTTACCTACTATGCAAATCTTAGTGCAGAACTGATCTGCAGTTGTGAGTGGCGAAATAAAGAGGTGTGCGGATCAGAAGATCAAAAAGTTAATCTTGAAGAACTGCAGGACTCACATGTTCAATATTGTATATGGAACACGGAGTTCTGCAGTTCTTAGTAGAAAACTTTCCTGCTTTGCAGGTGCAACTGGAGAACATTACCACTCGCAACAGCAGTGGAAAGTGGTATCCACTTACTACTATAGAACAGTTCAACTCTGAAATTTGCTGTGTTCGAAACGAGTAAACAGCACCAAAGGTAGGCTTAACACTATCACCTATTTAAGTCTTAACTTGTAGTACGTTAAGCTGAATATAGACATCCCTAACAGAGGGACGCAACACATTCGATTCATGGGAAGGTAATGAAAATAAGTATTATATATGACGTTGCTAATCTTAGAAGTGAAATCTTGCCAAAGGCATTTATTCGATTTATCATGTACCTTGTCTTTGATAAAACTTACTTGTTGTCCACTTCCGGCGCTGGTTTTCATCGCTCGCCAATTTTCAATGATGAGTAGAGAAACATACACCTTTCCCACAGTCATTTTGTTCCTACCTAGTTCTGAAAAGTAACATTTTAAGTAAACATTAACATTAACTCCATGAAATAAAACAGAACATATACATATGCTACTCCAACTATTACCTTCGCGCCTGGGAATAAGAAGATCCAACATCTTTTTTGCTTGCAAAGGCCAAATTTTTTGTATGGTTTGACGTAATTCTTCATCAGCTTGTTCCATTTCATCAGCTGTGTAAATAACAGAAATCAATTATTTTGTTTGCCAATTTTATTTAAGCTGGTTTCAATATTTCTCAAAGGATTGAAGTAAAATAAAATGTTTAAAAAAAGTGTCGTACCTGCACGAACTTTGATGTTCAGATTCTCTCTTATTAAAGCAAAAAGAGTTGTTGTGAATTGCACTCTTCCCTCAGCGTCCATAGGCATATTCATGCGAATTAATTTTTTATATGCTAATCGATTTGGACACTTGTTACCAAAGCCAAGAGGTGGATCCATATTCTTCAGCATATCATACATCTCAGAATACAAAATTCTTCCCCTGTCAATTATAGACGTAACTTAAAAATACTTCTACCACTGATAAGTCACGTTTCGTGAGATATGTACACTTACGTGGCATTTGGATCGTATTCAGCCCAAATTCGAACAAATTCGTCAAGATGATGAGCACCAAGAATTGATGAATCACGAGTCAAGTAATCAAAGTTGTCCATAATGACAGCAACGAATAAATTTAACATCTAAGAAGAGAAGTTAAAATGAGTTGTCTGCTGTTAATAGTATAAAGGTTGCCATTCAAGATTGTAAAAAGATAAATACTTACAAGAAAGGAGCAGAAAAATATAAAAGAAACAAAGTAAGCATAGGCAAGATTTGAGCCACAGGTTTCCCCTGTCTTTTTTGCTTTAGGGTCACATGGTTTGCCTTTAATACATGACAACATAATGTTTGGCCATGATTCACCGGTAGCGCACCTGCAGAAACCACATCAATCAGTATATTGTATCAATCAAAATATCAAAATTTATTGTCAAATGATGAGAAGGAAAGCTCGTAGGGATATAATTTATTGAGGAAATGGCTTCCTCTGGGTCAGTAGGATAGAAAGGTTATGCTATGCAGCCTTTTCAACGTGTAACAACGAAAGCAAGATCATCTAAACACCAAAGTGCATTTATATATGTATAAAGAGAGAGAGAGGTGAAGAGGAGAGAGAGAGAGAGAGACAGAGAGAGAGAGAGACAGAGAGAGAGAGAGACAGAGAGAGAGAGAGAGAGAGAGAAGTGAGAGGAG